GGAATTGGGGGAGGGGAACAGACAAGTTTCTGTCCTTTTGGTCTTCAGTCTAGTTGTGGAGGACGTTGCTTCACTGGCCCATGTTGGTATTATCATTGTGCTCTTCCCAGGAGAGGCAGATCAGTCGCCGGCTTCTGGATGGCCGCTCAGGGCAGCTGCTGGCCACTCACGCTGGCTGCCAGTTACCCATGGTAGCTTATGGCAGCCCACTGCAGCCTACGCCGTCACCGGCGACCCACAGCAGCCCAGCTCCAGGTCGAGCTGTTGTTCAGCATCTTAGCTGTAGAGGGCAGTGTCACTGGCCCTCATATGTGGGATCCAAACCGGGGCCCTCAGGCGTCCCAAGCCAGTTCTTAACCATCGCGCCACTCAGCCGGCCCTCAGTCTGACATTTCACTTAGCATGATACCCTCTAGGTCCATCCATGTTGTTGCACAGGAGGAACATCTTAAAGATAAAAAAGAAATAAAGAGAGAAATTTGAGAAAAAGTGAAAAATATTAAAAAGAGACAATTAAGTTCCAACATATGGCTAACAAGAGTACCCTTAAGAAGCAAACCAAAACAAGAGAACACAAAAGCTTTCCTGAAACAAAAAAGAATTGAACCTGTATTTTGAAAGGGCATACTACATGCCTGAGACTACTGAATTAGAACAAACAACACCAAGGCATAATCTGGCAAAATTACGAGACCTCATTAAAAAAAAAATTGGGGGTAATTAGGCAAATAAAGCAGGTAACTTGTAAGGGGAAAAAAATTAGGTTTTGATCATCAGAAGAAAATGAAAACAATCTCAAGGAAAGAAAATCTGAGCCAAGGATTTTATATTTAAAAAACTGATTTTCAAGTGTAAAGACCACAAACTGCTTTTAATATGAAAACTTTTTAAGGAAATATTCTAGCCCTTCCTGAGGAATCTAGTAGAGAATGGGTTTCAAAAAACTAGTGGTGAGCATTAAACACAGGATTCTTGGAGAATTAAAAGGGTTAAAAAGAAGAAAAGTAGTAGGTATAGATTCAGATAATGTGTAATATATCCATTAAAATGGAGAGTAGAAGGGGTAGAATGAGAAGAGTATGAAAACAATTTAAATTCTTCTCAATAGTTATACTGGTGATGGAAGTATTAGTATTGTTATTCTGGAGAATGTTGTGTAGTTAATGTGGAATAAAGTAAATGAGTACTTATGGAATTTTCAAATTCTGTCATTGCCTATGTTCTTCAGAACTAAGATTCTCAGTGTGGAAGAAAGGAAATGAACATGTAAATAGCAAAGGTTACATAAACCCCTGAATTTGAAGTAGCAGTATAAATTATCTCTATTTCTATCTCTATGGTTAAAAATATAAGTATTTATATAGATCGAGATCTCTCCCTAGCTTGTCCACTAAAGCAGCTTAGAAATCATGATCAATCCAGTAGCAACAAGCATCTTTACTGCTCAGATTGTGGCCTTGAAATACAATTTCCCACTAAAAACCATGTGAGCTTCTTGAAGAAATGGCTCATTCTTGTGTCTGGGGCAAGAAATGTAAAAGATGATCCTGGAACACTCGTCATGCCAGATGGCAAGGAAACGTATAGGGTTATATGAGGTGTGATAAAAAAAAAATACGGTGAATGTTAAAAAAAATTTATTACAGTAAAAGACACATTGTCATTAATCCCCCTCAAAATACTCCCCCTGGCTTCAAACACACTTATCCCGTCGTGTTTGTCACTTTCTGAAGCAGTTCTGGAAGTTCTCTTTCGGGAGTGTCTTTAGTTGTGCTGTCGTGGCTGCCTCGATGTCCTGAATCATTTTAACTGTGGGAAAGAGCCAGAAGTCACACGGTGCCAGATACGGTGAATAAGGGCACACAGTAATGTTTTTATTTGACAGAAACTGCCGTATACCAGAAGTGATGTGTGACATGGAGTGTTGTCATGATAAAGGATGATTTACAGCACATTTTAAAACACGCCTTCTCTCAACTGTAGCTCACACCCAACTGACTGCACCAAAGTTGAAACTTGTCACACATTGTTACTAAGGTTTGATGCACCGCTTCCCATATTGAAGATCACTGCCTTTCCATTGGATGGCACTCAGCAGCAGCAGTCATCATAGTTTTTTATCACAACTGAAAGGCTCCGTGTCACACATCGCTTCTGGTATGGCAATTTATGTTATGTTAAAACATTATGGTGTGGGCTGGCCGAGTGGCTCAGTTGCTTAAGAATTAGCTTAAGAGCGCGAGCTCTGAGCAACAGGGCTGCTGGTTTGATTCCCACATGGGCCAGTGACGCTGCACCCAACCTGAGCTACTGCTGAGCTGCCAACAGGTGGCAGGAGGGCTCAGCTGATGAGAGCACATGCTCCTAACAACAAGACTGCCTGCTTGATGGTGGGCTATGCCTGTCCGCAACTAAGACTGAACTCGGCACCTTGAGCTGAGCTGCCGCCTGGGTGGTTCAGTGGATAGAGCATGCGCTCTTAACAACAAGGCTGCTGGGTTCAGCTCCTGCATGGGATGGCGCCTATGCCCATCCGCAACTAAGACTGAAATCGGCACCTTGAGCTTAGAGGCCACGAGCTGCCAACGGGCAGCCAGATGGTGACTGGCACCCTCCACAACTAAGATTGAAGAACAACAACTTGGCTGGTCCCCTTGCCTGATTCTCCACTATTGTTCCCCTCCCCCAGTTCCCCAATTAATAAAAAACAAAACAAAACATTACGATGTGTCCTCATCCACCTTATTCACTGGATCTGGGACCATGTGACTTCTGGCTCTTCCTGAAAGCCAAACTGAACATGAAAGGTAAACGTTTTGAATCGATTCATTTTGAATTGTTAGTTTCAATTTCTGAGGGGCCCAATGCTTTTGGTGTTAAAACAAAAATCTCCACACAAGGTTTCCAGGGCCACTAATCTCTCTGGAGAGGTTTTTATTGGCTTTCAAAATCACTGCTTTGTTTCCAATTATCCCTTCATTTCTGGTACCTGAGGGTTTCTCATTTTTCCTGAGACCAGTTATATGATTTTTAATACATGTATTATTTTATACATTTGTTTGTAGCAGAAGTATTTACAGATGATTTTTATTTGCTATCTCGTTAGATCCAGGTATCCACATATTAATTTTACAAACAGAAGAAGTTATTTTAAAAATATGCATTCTTATAATTTGTTTTCCAGGAGTTACTTATTGGCCTGAATAATCTCTTGAAGTTTTCGTGAATAACAGTTCACCACTGTCTCTTAGAGAGTTGGTGAGAGTATCAATGTTTTCAAATGTGGACTGGCTAAAGAACAGGGACTGGACACTTTCCTTCTTACCACTTCTCTGGTCATCCATCTTTGTCTTGTGTCCAGGGTTCTAATTTTTTGTAGAATCTGACCCTTGCTTCAGAGCACAGCACCTACTTGGTAACATGGTGCTTAAAGGACCTATTTGATACTGAGTTATTCCTTCATTCATTTGCTCATTTAGTCATTTATCATTACAATGTTTCTGAACATTGTAATGTTCAGAATGTTTCTGAACATTGTAATGATTCAGAATTTAGGCTTACCTCCTCTCCTGGGAGCAACAAGCTATAGTAAGACAGCCACATATGATAGATAGTTTTGACCTGAATTATTCACTCAAAACATTATTTATTGCTCACCTACTATGTGCATGGCTCTGGTCAACTGCTGAAGATAAAGTGGAGTACAAGATAGTTATTGTCCATTCTCCTATGGCGATTATAATAAAATCAATCAAAACAAGAAATTCATGAGCACCTAGTATTTCAGATCCACTTTAAGGAAAATGAAATGAAGACAGGGTCCCTACTTTCTTCAATATTGAACAGTTTAACAAAACACTAAGCTATGTGGTTCAGGTTGCAAATACCTTAGTAGATAGGAGAGGAGGGAGCCTGAAGAGGGCTGGATAGTTAGGATTTCTGAAGAGGGTATACCTGAAGGTTAGTACGATGGGGAAGGGGTGCTTTGAAGACAGCCATGAAGAAACTAGACTTGAGCCTGAAGGAGTGCCAGCTGTTGTGAAACTCTCCACATAATATAACAACAGCAGAGGGGTGACTGGCCTCCGGTGTTAGGCCCTCTGAGACCCTGCAGTTTGTCTGCTCTCCTCAGCCAAGCTATCCTGCTCAGGTGCTGCCTTAGTCCCAGGTCGTACCCTGGGATGTTCCAGAATTTTTACTTTTGCACACAGAGGATCAGACTTTAGCTGCTATGATCAACCTCATTATTTTCTTATATTAACTTGTTTTGTCTTTCTTTCCTTGAACTAATTGAGTAGAGTTCAATCAGAAGTAGCCCCTCTTCAACATTTTAGCTAATCCTAACTTCTGTGCAAACATAATCCAATTCTAACCAGGCAGTTAAAATATGTAGTTGCTCTGCGAGGGCTCAGTGAAAATTCCCCTCCCCAAACTGATTCTATGAATGACTGTTACACAAGCCCCACCACCCGACTTATAACTCCCCTCAATGAGCCCTTTTATGGAGGGAGTCATCCTTTGGTTCCTGATCTGTTCCCACGGGTAAGTTCTCCGTGAGAAGTCTGTGGCGAGGAGCACAAGAGGCTGGCTTCACCCGAGGGCACCCGATTTCATGATGAGGAGTGCAAAGAACCATTGGGGCGCGTCTGAAAAAGCCGCTAGGGAAAGGGCCCTCAAGGACAGCAGGGTCGGAGCCGGGAGGGATCGGGGTCAGCGATCTGGCCAAGGGCCCCCGCAGCCTGTGTTCCCACCCGGCGTGACCGACCGACCGACTCTGCATGCTTCCCAGGACGGCGCGGAGTCAGGGCCGTACATGCCAAACCAGGCCTCCCTCTCGCGACTCGAGTCGCGAACACCTATAAGAAATAGGGCTCTCGGGCGAGAGTCCCGAGTCCGAAGCGCGGAGAAGCTCAAAAGCCCCACAAACCACGCCCTCCCAGGAACCGGAAGTTTGCAGCTAGCGCCACTTACCGGCCGATTATTTATTAGGGGCGGGGAACAGCAACTCCCAGAATGCAGCGCGGAGCTTCCGGTTTCCGGCAAGAGGACAGGAGTGAGTGTTTACGCCGGCGGCTCTGCGGCCGGGTTCCTTCCGCGGGACGGGTGAGGGCGCTGGGCCCTGGGCTCCGCGGGCTCGACTTGTGTCGACTACTTAGCTGGTCCCATGGGAGTAATGGGGTCGTCGCCAAAAAGATAGTGTCCCTCCCCACTACTAGCGGTCTGTGGCCTTGGGCTAGTGACTTCACCTTTCTGAGCCTCGGTTCCATGGTCTGTAATATGCGGATGATAATGCCGGCCTTAGGAAACGATTGTGAGGGTTAAATGAGATGTGGTATATTAAAAGACCTGCTCTTTCCCCTGTCATGAACCCGGGGATGGGCGCTACCTTGAGGATGGCTAGGGTCTGTTGAGCAGCTCTAAAGCTCACCTTTTCTATCTTCATCCCTATTAGAGGCCTCTTTGGAAACAAGGGCTTGGTTATAACAACTGCGTGTCTTGTCGTACAGGATTCTTCCACCCTCAGAATTTCTGATTCATTTTCTGGGCACCCATATGTGCCAGACACTGGGAACAAAGACAAAACATTCCAGTCTTTGCTTTCAAGGGCCCCCAAGAATGAGATGGGGTGAGATAGGAAAACAGTTATTTGTAACCCTTTGCCCTGAAGAAATGCTGGAACAACAAAGGAAAGGGAGGGAACCATAGGCATTTGCTAAATTTTGCTAAGAGGCCAATGAGGGAAGAGGAATTACAGGCAGAGTTAGATGAGCAGAGCTGAAGAGGGGGATGCTTTGTTTTTAATGGAGGCTTAGTGGGGGTGAACTTAAGTATTGGGGAGGGTGGGACAGGGTTCTTTTGGCAGGAAGGCTAGCAGAGGGAATAGACGTGAATGTATTTGCAAGCCAGGTTATGGAGTTTATACTTTTTCGTAGGTGGTTTGGAGTTGTTGGAGGAGTTCTAAGCAGAGAACTGACTTGATCAGATCTGTGTTTTAAAATGATGAGTTGGGTGGCAGCATGGATGTTTGGTAGGGAAAGTCAAGAGTCAGGAAACTTGTTATAACGCTTTTGTAATAGTTCAGGCAAGAGTTGATGAAGAAAATCAGAAATGAAGAGTGTACATAACGGAGAGGGGTGGATGATCTCATTTACTTCACAACGTTCTTATTAGGTGGGATGGTGTTTTTATGTCTACTTTATTATTTTTTATTAAAGATTTTTATTAAAATGTGGCTAACATACTATATTAGTTTCAGGTGTACATCATAGTCACTCAACAGCACCCACCTGACACTAACAGAGTTATCACCATACTTATGTCTACTTTAAAGATGGGGAAACTGAGACCTAGAGAGCTGAAGTTCCTTCCTGTCCATCATTGGATGAGTAAAGACAGGACCCCAGATTCTAGTTCTGGCCTGATGCTGCATCCCATGTTTTTCCAGCAGTGTCACACTGAAATCATTCAACCTCTTGGTGGGGTGGTGGTTGAGTAGGGTGGCGACGACCTATCCTTTAACCACCGAAGCTCTGTTTCTTTACAGGGAGAAAGAGAGAGCGCGAAAGAGAGAGGATGTCTCTCTCAGATTGGCACCTGGCGGTGAAACTGGCTGACCAGCCACTAGCCCCAAAGTCTATTCTTCGGTTGCCAGAGACAGAGCTGGGAGAATACTCACTGGGGGGCTATAGTATTTCATTTCTGAAGCAGCTCATTGCTGGCAAACTCCAGGAGTCAGTTCCAGACCCTGAGCTGATTGGTGAGTCTCTGTGGACTGGAGATGGGCTGTTGCTCTCATCTCTTTTTGGGGAGGATACTTCTGGAATTACTTATGGAAGGGTAAATTAAGAATTTTGGATTTGTTGCCTCATAATGTTAACACTGCAGGGAAGTGAGTATTGCTGGGTCAAAAGCAACACAAATCGTATAAAACTATGTATTGGTTGCCATTGCCATTTCAGTTGTGCATTACATTGAACTGCTTTATCACAAAGTTTCTTAACTGTGACATTATTCAATTCTTTTTCTGAAAGAGCAAGAATTTGGGGTGGGATAGGAAAGGAGGAGCTGGTCTGGGAAAGCCCCCCAAGTATATGGCATTTTGAGGTGGGTCTTATGGCATGATTAAATGGATTGTTGGGTGGTTGGTTGGTTGGTTGGTTGGTTAGAGGGAAGGCAGTAAAAAAAGGAAAGGAAGATGGCAAGGCATTCTAGGTGGAGGAAGAAGGAATTATTGTAAATATAACAAATTATATTATAAAGGTAATTTATAATAGCTAAGGCATCCAACTGACAAAAAGTGTGCTTTCAGTCATAGAAACACTGAGTTCATCCTTTCTTGTCATTGTATTTTCCCATTTAAATTGAGCAGTCTCCACAATGTTAAGCTCTAGAGCTTTCTTGTACATAAGATTCTGTATTTTATGAGTTAGTACTTGCTAATGGTTGTTACTCAAATGTATATATTAAATAAGAGTACTTTTTAAAGCATGTATTATCCTGGTGTGGACTTAACCCCTGGTCGTTCGCAAAAGATGAAAGCATTCACAGATACTACAAAGTGGGAGAGCAAAGGAAGTTTTTATTAAAGTTAGGGCAAAGAGAATGCCCATGGCAATGTCCAAACATGACGGCTGCCACGGGTTGTAAGGAGAGAAACACCGTCATGGGTGGGGGGTCGCAGGGGCAGAGTCCAGGGTCTGAGAGTGGACAGCTGCCCCTAACTTCAGGTTAGCTTTTTCTTATATAGGAAAGGGGGAGTCCGTTAGGCAGGCCTGGGAGCTGACCTCGCTTCATGAGGTCTGGTCTGTTAGAACACAATGTTATCTCCAGACTGAGGCTCGGCCATCACTGCCTGGGACTATTCATCACCAGTAAAAACTGCAAGAAGTTGTAAATTGGATTCCGATGTCCAGGCACCTGAGGCTTGAGAAATTGCTCTTTCCCAGGTTGGGATGTTGTTAATTAACGAGGTATGGGTAGTCTTGAGAAAGGGAACAAACAGAGCTCTTCAGTTAATCAGTGGGAGGAGAAACAAAGAGAAAACAGATGAATATCGGGATGGATCAGACTGCAAACAAACAGTCTAATTACAGGTGGCTAGATAGCGAGCTGTGGGGTGAGTCAAACTGCAAACTAGCTATGTCTAATTATGTTATTGATTTACTGAATTTCACCCTTACATGTATCATTCTCCAGCCATCTGTCCAATCTAAATAAGGTTCCTAGGGGACAGAAACCATCTAAATTGTTTTGAGGAGCAAAATATAAATAGACAGTTCTTTCTTTTTAGATCTGATCTACTGTGGCCGGAAGCTGAAAGATGACCAGACCCTTGACTTCTATGGCATTCAACCTGGATCCACAGTTTATGTTCTGCGCAAGTCCTGGCCTGAGCCTGATCAAAAACCAGGTGAGTGAGGGTGGCCCTGAGTCAGACAGGCAGAGCTTCGGTAGTACCTATAAGGGAAGGGCCTGTGGGTTTTTGAGGCACAGACCTGGGTGAGTGGGACAAGGTGGTTTACTGAAATGGTAATAGAGGAGATCTTTATTATTTACTGGGTTAGACCACACTGATAAGCAATGTAATTTTGATCTTCTTGCTGTCAACACCACGAAGGGATGGGTGTTTTTCCCCTCTACTTTTTAAGTTCATTATCCACTGTTTTAGTGGGGTGGGAAGTGTATGTCTGTTTAAACTCCTTTAGGTTACCAGTTTATTTCTCAGTGAACTTTGTATCTTCTTGTTAGTCTCATTAGAAAAAAAAAGCTGCAAACTCCTTGGCGTCCTCTAATGCTGTAGTTTGTTCTCGTTGCAAACTTTCTGGCGAACTGCCTCAGGTGGTGACTTGTTCAGTCAGCTCATTCCTCCTGCTCTACTGGTGATTGATTGTCCTGGAGCTTGAAAGTATTTGAAAAGGATTAAAGTAGCTCTTGGAGAAACCATACAAAGCCTCAAATGCCTTTTGGATTTATTAGTAAAAGGTGCTGCTTGGAATTCATAACGTAAGTTTTGCATTTGTGTTTTAAAAGCCTCCCAAAGGATAAAGCTAGGCTATATAAAAGAGATTAGCTTTGTCAAACTGGCAGTTTGACATTTTTATAATGTTCATGATTACTTTGACTGATTATCAACTTGCAATGTATCCTCTTTTCAATTCTAAACATAAAGGACAAAAAGATCTTTTGTATGCTGATGAGAAGTGAGAAAGAGAAACCCCGATATCCAGGGGTTGGCCTGGCCCTCAGCTAGGCCTTGGAACATGCACAATTTCACAGATCACCATCTACAAAGCCGCTCAGAGACCATAATGAATCAAGACAAAAACAGGAGCCCTCTCATTTCTGCACAGAGAAAAAAACGCTGAACATTGTCCAAACCACAAGAAAGACTAAGTGTTCCTCTTTCCTGGCTATTATGAGTGCTGCTTCTTTCCAGTTACACCTTTGTCTTGCTCTAGTTGTTTTTCCTTCTAGATAGGAATTATTAAGATACCCACCTCCACTTCTTGACAGTATCCAATCCAAAGCAAAACCCCGCTTCCTTAAACTTCCCCCCAAATCACCCAGCTGAAGCCCAAATCCTATAATAAATCTTTTCTAACATCCTCTTATTGAGATGCCCCACTGAATCTGGGGTGTGCATTCTCCTTGGTAAGGAGCAGGAAATCCAACTTGTGCTATTGCAAGTGAGCCCCTCTGGTCTTTGGCTGGAGGGCAGCAACAGAAGGAAAGTAACATTTGTGGCTTCTTCCAGCCAGATTGTTTCTCCTTGATATCTCATTTAGTCATCAGAGTGGCCCTGCAGGATAGGCAACAACATTAGCATTTTATAGATGAAGAAAAAGAGGGTTAGAAAGGTATTTATTCAAGGTCACCTACCACCTACTTAGAAAATGAACACGAAGGCTGGGATATGAATCCAGGTTTTCCTGGCTCAAGAGCCCTTGTTTTTTTCACTGGGCTGGCTGCCTCCAACTTCCAAAGGGTGAGATTAGCTCAGAGATGTTATAGAGACAACAATAACTCCTAGCTGATAATCGGCTTAAGATATTAAGAATCCTTTTCCTCCTCTCTTCTGCCTGGATATTTATTTTTGAAACAAATGGATGTTTTATTGGGAGGTAGAAATAAACTGAGATATTTTAACCTTGAGTGCTCTTCCAAAGGAAGCGCACTTCTTGACCTCACACTAGATTGGCACCTGTAGAAGGAGAATCTGTCAGACCTTCTCTTTGCACCTGGATCCTTGGTGGTTCTCCGTGGAGCATTACAAATCCCTTCATGTCTCCCTAAGCCTGCGATTTCACAGGGGTGTGTACCCCAAGCTCCAGCCACAAAAAAACACTTGCTGTTCCTTCAAAGCCCCTCATTTTATTCTTCCATGCCTTTACACATGTTCTCGCATAAGCTTCTCTCCCTGGTAAACATCTGCTCTCCCTTAAACACCTCAGATGGTCTCCCCTGGGAGACAGCTCTGTGTCCTAACTGTCCCTTTCAGTAATGGCTCTCTGCCTCTTGTTCCTCTTGCTCAGCTGGGGCCCATGGCTCTGCTGAGGTCCTTAGTAAGGTATTTTGTAATTGTGTGGTTTATGTTTGATCTAGTCTTGTTTCTCCGATGTCTGTCCTAAGAGTTCCTTGATGTCAGGGAATCCATTTTTTACGTTCCCATGCCTTGCCCAAAACCAGGCACGGAGTAAATGCTTAGTACATGTTTGTTGACTGAATAAATTAGGTAATTTGCTTAAGATAAATATTTTTCAGGAGACAACCCTCATAATTAGAACTGTAGGTAAGGATGTGGTTCCATACGGAACTGCAGGGGTGCCATTCCATTAGCTTTGGGAATGGAGCCCCTGGAGTTGGGCAGCACAGTCAACATCATCACAAGTAGCCGTCCTAGGTGAGGGTACCCACACTTTTAAAAGTGTGACCCAGGGGGAACTTCCTGCCTACTCACCCTTCTTTTACCCACATTTCTTCTCCTGTGAAATGGGCTGATGTCCTAAGTAGGAAAGCAACGAAGTCAAACTAAGACAACTGCTAAACTTTCCCATATGTGTGAATCATAGTGTCCAAAGATAAAAAAGGAACTTTGAGTCTCATCGAAGCACTTGCTACCAAGCATGTGATGAAAGTTTGTTAAGAACCCTAAAGTACAGTGTGTGGTTTGTTTTTTGGGGGGGAGGGGGGCCTCTTGTATTTTTTTATTATTATTATTCAAAATAATATTAAGGAAGCCTGAAAGAAAATATCAAAGAGAAAACAATTCTTCCGGATCCTGTTGCCCTACCAGGTGGTGGTCTTTCCCTTGTCCTGTGCAGCCCTGGACCACATGGGCACTGATGCGTTTTGTGTAGTTTTACTAGAGAACGTGCATCCAACTTTGTGTTCTGTTTCTCTTAACATACTGTGGTAGCGTAGCGCCATACTTTTCAGATGCTCACAGCACTTAGTATTTTAAATTACTGCATAAAAATCTACTGAGTTGGTTGTATGTGCCTTCTTTTCAAATGTAAGAAGTCTAGAATACCTGCAATGGGATGTTGACAAGAGCGGTCTCTTTCATGTGGTAAGATTCCCCTCAGCTGGAACTTGACTTTGATTATCTACTGAAGGTGCTTAAGAATGCAGTTTTCACATCTGTATCATAAAGGGGTTTCACTTTCTTAGAGTGATGAGGGAGGGGAACCTGCAGACGAAGCTGCCCCTGGACACATGCTGATATTCTGCGTCTGTGTGAGGGGCAGGGCTCCGGGGTAACCGAGTGTCTTGTCCTCAGAGCCCGTGGACAAAGTGGCCGCCCTGAGGGAGTTCCGGGTCCTGCACACTGCCCTGCACAGCAGCTCCTCCTACAGGGAGGCGGTGAGTGTGTGCTGTGGGCCCTGCCCGAGATTCTTGCCAGGTCTGCAAGAGAGACTGTGAATGCTGGAGAGTGGTGTAGAGTGAGAGCTGGGAGCCCGTTGCCATGGCTACCAGGAGTTCCTCAGGGAGTTTTTGTCATGTCTGTTGGTCTCAGTAGAGCCCTGTCGTCCCCCAAAGAGGCTGTATCAGCTAGGTATTGTTGATTTTTCTCTAATGATAATGATACAACCTCCTGATATTGACCTCACAGAATGAATATGTTTACAGTCAAAGGGTCCACACACATGTTTCTGCTGGGCCTCATTCTTTAAATTTGGCTGAGCTGCCTGCCCACCACTCCTTACCTGGATTTCCTCACTGGGAAATGCACTGATGTCTTTCTATAGGAGAGTTGATAAGCAAAATTAACACAGCTGCGAACTTCCCAATATACAGAGGGTGCCAAAAAAATGTATACATATTTTAAGAAAGGAAAACACTATTAAAATTGTAATGCTCAATATATACCAATAACAAAAGATGAATACAAGTCACATTTGACTTCTGCAATTACAAGAGATGCTCAAAGTGGTTACCATCAGTGTCCAGACACTTCTGATTACGGCGAACTACTGCTTGAGCAATGCTGACCATCTCTTAAAGAGTGTATACATTTGTGTGGCACCCCCGGTTTATGAATATGAAATGATAATTGTACGGAGATTGAAAACGACTTTTGGGACCTAGAGAAACCTTTGTTATTGGCTTGTAATGAGAGCTTTTATTTTGGAAGCATTAGAACTGTAAATGGGGGCAGGACCAGAGATTTAAGGCTTACTGTGATATTGCTTTTTTTTTTTTTGCTTTAATTGTTTGTTTCCCCTCCAGTAAGCCCTGATCTCAGAGAAGAAAGAGATTCATCTGCTTCCCGGGGCTGTTGTCACATTGTGGTGGTGCACGTGTAGGCACTTAGAGGGGGACGTACTTGAGCAGAATTTGGGTACTTGCTGAGTGGATTGAGCTGCTTGGATAGTCAGCCCTCCCCATTTCTCTTGCAGGTCTTTAAGATGCTCAGCAATAAGGAATCTTTGGATCAGATCATTGTGGCTACCCCAGGCCTCAGTAGTGACCCCATTGCTCTCGGTAAGTGCAGGACTGAACTGAAGGAAATAGGAGTCATTGGAGAAGGAGAATCCAGAAGCAGGCAATCCTAGAGACTGACCACCTTTTGGGGGATCACTGGTCTTGTAGGGGAGGGGAGAGCCAAGATGTGTTCCATGTACCCAGCCCTCCAAGAGCTGAAAAAATCATGGCCTAACAAGCATCATAAATGAGACTGAGGATGTCTGATGAGGGCAGTGGTTAGCCCAAACCACAACAATCAGGGAAGACCTCCTGCACACTTTGATGGATAAGGGAAGAGCCCAGAGATGGAGGGAAAGAGGCTGGCATGCTGGTACACAGTATGTGACTTACTTGCAGGGGAAAATGATGGGCAGGGTCAAAATGGAGAGCACACAGTTGTGCTGTTTGGTGCTTTGTTTCCTCTGCTTTTCACATAGGGCTGCTTTGTGGTCCTGTGTCCCTGTTGAGCCAGTTGCTCTGAGGCCTAAAGCTTAGCTCTTTTCCCTCCTGGATGTGGCTAGATTTCCAGTCTCTGAGGTGAGCCCTGTTTTCCTTAGGGGTTCTCCAGGACAAGGACCTCTTCTCTGTCTTTGCTGACCCCAACATGCTTGATACGTAAGTATGCCCATCTTATTAAAGGGTAACCTATCTCTCCTCCTGTGGTCAGGCTAGAAGCCTGATTGTCACCCTGGGTTCTTCTCTTGGAGCCCAGGCCCTGTCTTTTCCAAGTCTACCTTTTAAATATGTCAGGAGGTGAGAAAGAACAGGGTGCTGTGGGGGAACAACAAGCCCAAGGGCAGCGGCATGTGGAGCTGTGGAGAGGAAGCAGGGCCTGAGTGAGGTGGCCTTGCATGCCCAGCTCAGCTTCGCTCCCATTCAGTGGCCATGAAGGAGCCTTGGAAGGATGTGAAGCTGGGGAAGGAAGCAGGTGTATAGATCCGTATTGATTAGAGTTGGAAGAGACAGCAGAGGTTATATATCTTATTTTGCATGTCAAGAAGACAGTTGGCCCCCTGGGAAGAGAAGGGACCTGTCATAGATGGTCCCGAAGTAGTGATGGAGGCGAGACCAGACTGACCCCTGAGGCTTCTAGGTTGTCCTGTTCCATCACACCGAGGGGAAGGTGAGGCATCCTCAATAGATCCCAGCGGGGAAGGTCAGGCATCTGCCGTAGATCCCAGGGCAGAACAGCAGGAAGACAAAGCCAACTGGAGAGAGGTACTGAAGACTGAGGGAATTAAGGGCAGGCACAGGTAGCTTGATAGTTGTGAGGGGCACCTAGACTCCTGTCATGGTGAGGGTGCCCTTTCCTTATTGTTCACCCTTGGGTTTCTTTCTGACTCATCCCAGGTTGGTACCTGCTCACCCAGCCCTAGTCAATGCCATTGTCCTGGTCCTGCACTCGGTGGCAGGCAGCACTTCACTACCAGGGGCTGACTCCTCTTCCCGAAGCATGCCCTCCAGCTCGTACCGGGACATGCCAGGTGAGTCCCAAGGGAGCGTCATGCAGGTCCCCCAGGACCCGGCATGGCCCAGGAACAGCTTTACTCAACAGCTATGTATAACGCTGGCAGAGGGTATTCCTCGGAAACTCTCAGTTTGAGTCAGGGAGTGCATCTGTCCTGTAATTTTCCACGGGGAGAGAGGAAAATGTGAAATTGGAGAGTATCTGAGCTGAGATCCTGGAGCTCTGCCTGTGTCTTTCCGTTCTTCCTCCTGAAATCTGTTCTCTGTCCTCCAGGTGGCTTCCTGTTTGAGGGACTCTCTGATGAAGAGGACGACTTTCACCCAGTAAGCAGCCTGGCTGCCTGCCCTGTAGGGAACACGGTGCCAGGGATGCTTCCCTCCCAGGGACCTGGCGCGCCCAAGCTGGGAGGTGGGCACAGGCTGTGTCATACCGTTGCTTTCTGTACCTGGCAGCCAGGGAGTCTCCCCAAGAACTGTAGCTGGGGTGGGGGCGGGGTCACCTGGGTCCATCACAGGGCTACTTCCTTGACTCTGGGGCCTCCCTTCTCCAGAGCACCAGGTCCACGCCCTCTAGCAGCACCCCCAGCTCCCGCCCAGCATCCCTGGGGTACAGTGGAGCTGCCGGACCCAGGCCCATCACCCAGAGCGAGCTGGCCACTGCCCTGGCACTGGCCAGCACGCCGGAGAGCAGCTCTCACACGCCTACTCCTGGCACCCAGGTATGGAGACAGGGCTGGAAGAGGGAGGCCGGGCCCCAGGGGAGAAGCTCCCCAGATGAGGTGGGTTTGTCTTGCTGACCCTGGTGCTAGATCTGGTTTGAGCTGCCCTGCCTGGGCCCTGGTGGGTTTCTCACTGCGGCTGGGCAGGGACGACCCCCTCACCCCCTCACTTGCCTTTAGGGCTCAGAAGTCGGGGGTGTAGCACAGTCCTGATTGATTCCTGGTTCCAGCAGTTCAGGAGACCCTCCCCTCACATAATGCGCACTGCCTCATCCCCGACAGGGCCCAGCCCTCGCCAGCTTAAGTATTCCTGGTGATGGTCACTCCAGCTTCCAAGGCAGTGGCCCTCAGTGTTGGGGTCCTCGGCTAGGTGGGGGGCTCGATTCCATTTCCCTGGAGCTGAAGAGAAGGGAGCCATTTTGCCCACATAGCGAGGTTTTAGGTTCCTCTGTGTGGTTGTCTCACGCAGGCCCCTGTGGAAGGCAGCAGTCGGGCAGCCGGAGCCATTGTGGGGTGATGTGACAGCAGTGGGTGTGTGCTGGGAGACTGAGGGGGCTCTGCGGGTAGCCCTGACCACTGGTTTATCTCTAGGGCCATTCCTCAGGGACCTCACCAATGTCCTCCGGCATCCAGTCAGGGACGCCCATCACCAATGACCTCTTCAGCCAAGCCCTGCAGCATGCCCTGCAGGCCTCGGGGCAGCCCAGCCTTCAGGTCAGTCTTCCCACTCCTGGTATCCGTGCGGCTGGCCTGCTTACTCAGGATACGGGTCCTTTTTCTGCCCTGAGGGCTTACCAACGTGGCATGCTTCAGTCCAGGATCAGCAGAATGCTCCCAACAAGGGCAGCTGTCCCTGTGGCTCCCACTCCTGCACGCCGTGACCATGGCCTGACTCCACTGACTGCCTGGCTTGGGTACTAATGGCAGTTTGGCTCAGTTCATTCCGTGAGTGCTGAGCACTAAGCATGTATATGCGGGGCCTGGGGTAGAGAGAAGCCGTCCTCATCCCTGCCACAGAGGGGCATCATGCAGTCACTGAGCTGGGCCAGTGACAGGGCGAGAAGCCCTGCCCAGGCTCAAGTGAAGGGCCTAGGTCAGGCAAAACGTTTGTGCGGAAGGGGTGTTTGTGCTGATTGTCAAAGAATTCGTTAGAGGTTGTCCAGGCAGGGAAGGGGGTGATCGGGGTGGGGTGGGGTGTCCGGGCAGAGGCGTACCCTGGTTGAGCAAATGTGTGGAGGGACATGGGACATACTCAGAACTATAAGGCCCGAAGGAGTGTCCTCGTGGAGGAGATCCTGAGATGGAGCCAGAGAAAAGGAGCGCAGGAGCCTGAGTGTGAGGGCCTGGCGTGCCTGGGTAAGCAGATTAGACTTGACCCCACAGTCACTAGGGAGCCATGGGAGGTTCTAAGCAGGGAGAGTGGCACATCTGGTCACCTTAGCAGCTAAGGTAACCCAGGGATCAGGTTTGAGTGCGTCTCTGCGCACGGCTGTCTGCTTCGCTGTGTGTCCTTTGCTCCTCACAGGGAGCCTGAGAGGGAGCGTCATTTCTGGAACGTGTTTAGGGTCAGTGAGCCGGTGAGTGGTAGAGATGGGGTCAAGCCGTGTGGTTCTGTTTACCCCACGTGGCCCAGGTGGACAGTGAGGGGAATGGGAGCAGGGCCTGTGGACGGCTTCTCTTTTTTGCTCCTGTCTCTCTCCAGCTAGGAGGCTGTTCTCCCTGCCGTACGGCTCAGGAGCTTTCACTCGCCCCACCTGGCCTGTAGCCTGAGTCCGAGTTGGTTCGTGTGGTTTTTACAGCCATCCCCAGCCTCACCCTTGCCTGCCTGCCTGCCTGCCTCCCCGCTGCCTTCCTCTCCCACAGTGTGAGCACATGACTTTCCTTAAGTTGTGCACTTAGCTCCTTCATGAGATAGAGATATTAATGAAGGTTTGAATGTACTATAAGAAAATGTGGGTTAATTTCTTTAAACCCTTACAGGTGAGAAGGCCTCTTTTAGCTGAAAGTCAAAATCTGGGAGCAATTATATAATGAGTAATACATTTTGAGTTCATAAAAGTGAAAATTTATGCATACTAAACCAAACCAAACAAACCAAAAAAAACCAGTCAAAGTCTGCATGCTAACAACAACCTGGGAAAAATTCTGTAACATATCAGAGAACGGGAAAAAGGCCCCTGATGTAGAGGTTCTAGTAATTTAGGACCAACAACTCCATAGAAATCTGAACACAGGCCATGAACAGACAGGACCTTTCATGGAAAGGAAGTACAGATGGCCCCTCAGCCATGTGATTCCTCACAGTCCCATTTCTCGGAATTTATCCTTGAGATGTATACATGTGAAAAAAGTGAAGTGTACAGAGTCAGTTCCTGTAGCGTCCCAACAGCAAAAGATTGGAAATAGCCCAATTATGGGACATTTCAGGACATCCCAGGTTGGAATATTACATGGTTATTAAAAACGTCTTTAGTTATATACTGGCATAGCTAGATTCCAGGATGTACTGAGCATGTTAAAGAAAAGAAGAGGGAGGTGGATATAGACAGGAATAAGGAAAGGGTAAAGATAGGAGTACATGTGTGTGTCTCCTCAAAATAAAGTTGGTTATCTGGGGTGAGGGTGAGCGTGGATGAGAGGAAGACTTTCCACTATTTGTCATGCTAAAAAACAAAACTAATTTTAAAATGTATTCCCCTCACCCCTTTTGTGTGTATGTGGCTGTACATATAGCAGGAGAAAGAAAGTAATTTAATCGTTTAAACTTTAGATCTTGAGGAATATGTGGTTTTTCTTTTGATCCTAATGTTAAAAATGTCCTGTTTTTATTGGATAAACTTTTTTTTTTTTTAGCTGAGCCATCCTGCCACCTGTTGGTCGCTCAGCGGTAGCTCAGCTCGGGCCATGAATCGAACTGCTGTTGCTCAGAGCTCACACTCTTGAGTGAGCTCTTAACCAACTGAGCCACTTGGCCGGCCCTTGGATAAACTTTTAATTTGGTCTCTAAACCTCCTGCCTCTCTTGTAGTCTTTCTGGAAGCCCTGTGTTCTGTGGAGCTTCACATCTGTGACTTGCTGTAGGAACCCACCTTTTATCTCCCCTGAAAGGACAGAGCTAAACAAGTCTCCGTAGGATCTTAACTAACAGCTTCTGCCTGGTTCTGTCTTTCTGCAGAGCCAGTGGCAGCCCCAGTTGCAGCAGCTACGTGACATGGGCATTCAGGACGATGAGCTGAGCCTGCGGGCGCTGCAGGCCACTGGGGGGGACATCCAAGCGGCCCTGGAGCTCATCTTTGCCGGGGGAGCCCCGTGAACTCCCTGCTGCTCCCAAACTCCCAGCAGACTGCCAAGGCGGCAGCTCCAGGAGACACCTGAAGTTGTCCCATCTCCTCTTCCAATACATCTGCTGGTCGATCTCGCTTTGTTCAGTGCTTGGCCTTTCTGGCTGATGCGCGCTGGTGGAGGCAGTGGGGCGAGCATGGTGGGTGGGTCTTGGTGCTATGACCTTGGAGCACAGCTGGGCCTGCTACTTGGCCCTGGGTGGAGAATTTTAGACCGATGTTCTCTCACAGACATTTCCAGTGATAGTTCGTAGAACCCTTGGTGCTTCGGGGTGTGACATCCTCAGGCTATGCCCAAGGCTGGAGCAAGGCTGCTCCCCATTCTCCAGTGTGGCTGCTGGGTCACAATCTTGGCCAGAAAGGCTTGTGCTCCTGAGATGACCACAATCTGAGGAGTGGCCAGGCAGGCTTTTAGAGAAACAGGTAGGGGTAGCTTACCTTCCACATCGTCCCCTCTCTCAAAGGCTTCCAGAAGGTTCCTTGTCCCTCCCCCAGCCCAGTCTCACCAGACATTCTTTGACGCTTATTCTGTAATTCAGACGCCAGAATCCAGGCCTCAGAGTTGTGCCAGAGGGCCCGGCCCTCTTCTCTGTCCTGAAAGCGTAAATACAAGAGCAGTTAAATAACCATCCTAAACAGCACCAACAGGAACAGGGCTCAGCTTTCATATTGAAGAGAGGGCAGCAACCCCAAGCTGCTCCTCCATCTGCCCAAGCTCTCGTTCGCCTTGGCACGGCGCTCCCTGCCGCGGTGCACACGTGTCCAAGTTGAGCGAGTGGGTTTCCTGTGCCTTGAATACTCTGTCAGGAGAAAAATCCTTCCCTTCAGATGGTGTTTCAGTAGAAAGGTGCTCAGAGGTCTGCTCCTGTCCTGTGTCTTGGGCAGATGTTCCATCTCCAGCATCTACGGTCATGATCATTTGGCCTCTGCTTGTCACCCGGGACCAAAGGTTGGCCACTTGTAAGGACTGCCTACTCTGTCCTTTGTTCCCCAGCCCCTTTCTGGTCCAAGGGAGCACACACAGCAAGCCTGCGCGCTTTGCGCCACAAGCCCGGATTCAGTTAAGGAGGCCAGTGTGAATCGGCCGCCCCTTGACCTGTCCTGGTTTTGGTCCCCAGCACATCCTGGTCTCTCTGGATGACCCCCAGCTTATCAGTGATGCTCCTAAAGGGAGATCCTCAGGAGGACCCACTGTTCCAGAAATGGCCCGAACCACACAGTGTTCTTTCCTTCCTCCAGAAAATGTGAAGTCTCCACATTTCCCTCTCAGCCCCAGAATTAATGTTGAGAGATGTTTGCGTTGGCTGAGGAGACTCAAACTGCACCCACGAGGCTTCTTGGGGTCAGGCCTCTGGGCCTCAGCGGGTTGCCTGGAGCCCAGCTGCCTCCATGTGGTTGGGGCAAGGAGGCCCTGCCTTTGAACCCGATGTCTCTGGCTCATTGGTGGTGGAAACAGAGGACGGTTCCATCTTCACGGAGCTGCCTTGGTCAAATGGAGCTGACAGCCCTTCTTGTCCCCATGACACAGCCGACCCAGAGCTGGTTTCCATTCTGTGGAACGCCCACCCTGCCCCTGGGGACTGCCTTCCAAGACACCGGGGCTCCTTAGCTCTCCCACCCTATTGTGCTGGGAACACTTGGGTAACTGGCCTGTCCCTGGAACTGATCCCCAAATAACAGTTACACTGCTTCCCAGAATTGAGCCGTCCCTACAATTTCCCTTTCCCTTCTTTGTCAGCTCTTTCCTCCAGGGTCTTGGCAAGTTGGCTTTGCTTCCTGTGGCCATGTTTTAAATAATATATATTGAGTCTGATACGTGCCTCCGCTGAGCTGGGGGCTTTCCATGGGCCAAGGACTCCTTCCTCACCATTGTCTCCTTCACCCTTTCAACAAACATTGAGCCTGTACCCGGTGCCAGGTAAAATGACGGGTCCTTGCTCTCACAGAACCATGTCACTGGTAAGGTAGACAAACAATGTTGATGCCAAAGCCTGCTGAACCAGGCCAGGCAGACCCAGTGGGCATGGGGCTCATAAGAGGGGGAGCTAACTTGGGTTAGGCTGGGTGTGTGTGTGTGAGGGAGAACTTGGAGAAAGTGGCGTCTAAGCTGAGACCTGAAGAGTGAGGAGGGGTTGGGCAGGAAGGTGTACATTCTGGCTGGGCTGGATGTGGGGATAACATGGCTCCTGTAGCCCCGTGTGGCAGCGTGGGTTGCGAGGTAGACAGAGGCTAGATCATTTTAAGCTATGGAAGGAGTTTGGACTCACCCTAAGGACAGTGGGGAGTCATAAGAGAATTTAAATGAGGGGAGAGTCAGGTTTGCATTTTAGAAAGGTCACTGGCTGCTGTGTGAATAGGTGGGGAGCGGGCCAAGCTTGAGGGAGGGAGACCAGTGAGGAAGCTATGATCCACTGGAACTGATGGGGGCGCTGACTTGACCATGTGGGGGGAAAGAGCGCGCTGGGTGGAGAGAGGCTAGGAATTAGCGATGTCACATCTTGGGAAAGCTAAGTGTATTACTATTAGCTCCATTCATCAGATGGGGACGCTAAAGTTGAGGGGGGAGATCACCTGTCCACAATCTCATGGTTAGGCGTGAACAAGTAGGGCTTAGATCCTCAGGTCTGCCTTAGGCCAGAGGTGGTACCCTTCCTATTGCTGCCCATGGCCTCCGGGTATGTAGGAGTGGGAGGTGGTGCAGGGTCTGATGAGGCTGAGAGCTTGGGCTTTGTCTTGAGGGCAGAGAGCACCCCGCGGATGGCTTTAGGCATGGCAGCGGGGGACCAGACGTGTGTGAGACAATTTGACAGCTGCGTGGAGGCTGGATTTGTGGGAGGTGAGGCAGGGAGACCAGCTAGGAGGCTCGCTGCCTCCAGATGGGACATGGTTGGGGCCTGGGCTAGAGCTGCAGCAGGGGAGCTGGGAAGAGGGGGGGATGTGAGATGTGAAAGGCAGACTAGATCTGGGGGAAGAGGGAGAGCGAGGAGGCAGGCAGGATGTGAGTGGGTAGATGGTGCAGTGAGAACAAGGGGCGGCTTGGAATTTGGAATGCAACACCAGTCTTGGACACGTTGAGCTTGAGGTGCTATGGGACAGCCATGTGGGGATGTCTTGTAGACAGTTGGATGTTTCTAGGCTGGAGATAATGATCAGGAAGTTTTAAATTGAAGACTGGGCCTGTATCATGTGAGAAGGGAATTCAACTTTTCAGGGAAAGGTACAGGAAAAGGGACACCCACTAAGGAGTTAGGATTTATAGGAAATGGTGACTGATGGACATGGAAAATGGAAGGGGGTGGGATCTGCTGCCTCCGGGAAGGCAAGAGCAGGAGTCATCTCAGCAGACGGAGCGGAAGGAACTGAACAGAGAAGGCATGGTCAGTGGTGTGAGATGCCACAGAGAAACCTAGTAATAGAAGGGTTGACCTTGGACTCGCTGACTTGAGCCATGGTGACCTTGGGGAGATGCTACTGTGGAACCAGAGCCCACCTGCAGGGGTTGAGGCCTGAATAGGTGGGGCAGTGGTGGCAGGGAGTGCTGAGAACTCTGGAGAAGCTCGCTGGTGAGAGGGTGGTTGGAGCGGGGAGGGGACTGAGAGCGAGCTTTTGTGGTTCAGCAGAGGTGAAGTTGGAATTGATCACGAGAACTTTCCTAGGAAGCTAAGGGAATAAAAAGGAAGAGACCCTGAAATAGAATATGCAAATATGTAAAGACTGGTGAGTTTTTTTAACAGATCCCTTATCTTGATATAACTCAGATTTGGCTGGGCTGGCACAGCTTGTTGGGCACATGGGCCCCGGTTCTGCTCCTTGCCTCAGCCCCATCTGGCCTGGGCCCCAGACCAAGCTCTCAGATCCCTGCCTTGAGGTGGCTGGCCTCTTGGTGCCTCTGCCGCAGGCCTTGGCAAGAAATGTTTGGTGAGGGTCTTGGGGGATTTATGTGGGTCTCCCTCTATCTGCTTACCCAGTTTCTCCAAGCCCCCTGCTGCCCTGGGCTGGGGTTAGGTCCGCTTGGCTGTGCGCCTCACTTCCCTGGGCCCAGCCTTATCTGGCTCCTGTAGGCTCTGCAGTTGCTGGTAACAGGATTGAGCTTTCTCTGTGCTTGAAATGTCTTTTGCAGAGACCCAGGGACTGCCCTGCTCTACCTTGGCAAAGTGGCTAGCAGCAGTGCGGTACGAAAGTGCTCATTTATCACGCACCATCTCTGCCAGTCATTGAGCTAGGCACTCACATACACCATCTCAGTGGATCCTAAGTAGACACTATTATTTCCATTTACAAGGAATGCTGCCTGTTAACAGGACGTGACTGCTGGGAAACTGGCCTTTCCAGGGCTTGGGTGGGATTGTATCAGCACAGTCCCACCAGGGCACCCACCTGGGGCCTGTTGCTGGCAGGCAGGCCTGGGAGCCACTCAGAGGGGCCTGGAGGATCTGCTCTCCACTCATGCTCCCTGGAAACGGCAGCTTGAGTCTTGCAGGGGAATCAGGCTTCTAAATCTGACTGAGGTTTAGATTGCTTCCATGGCCTAACCTCTTGGAGCCTTAGTTGT